AGATGAACTTCTTTTCTTGGAGCTGAGCGTGTCCGTGATGGCCGCTGTCTGCATGGCAAAGCCTTTGATAAACTTGCGATAGAAGTTCGCAAAGCCGACAAACCGTTGGACCTCCTTCCGGTTGCGTGGGCTTTTCCAATCCAACACTGCTCGGACCTTGGTGCTGTCCATGGCGAGCCCTTTATCAGACAACTTGTAGCCCAGGAAATCCACCTCCGTCACGTCGAATTGGCACTTCTCCAGCTTGGCGTAAAGCCTATGTTGCTGTAGCCTGCTCAGCACTTCCTTGACGTGCCTGTCATGCTCCTGCTGCGATTCCGAAAAGATCAGGATGTCATCCAAGAAACAGACGCACGTCTTGTAGAGGAGCCCCGCCAACACGTGATGCATGAAAGCTTGAAAACGTGGGAACCATTTTGCAATCCAAAAGGCATAACTCTATATTCGTAGGTGCCCAGGGGCGTGAACATGGCTGTCTTCCACTCATCTCCTTCCCGCATGCGTATGATGTTGTACGCCCTCGCATGTCCAACTTGGTGAACACGCTGCCCTTCCGTACCTTTGCGAGGAGGTCGTCGATTCGGGGCATGGGGAAGTCCGATGGCTTGGTCACGCTGTTCAAAATGCGATAGTCCACTACAAGTCTTTTTGGGGCGTGTCCCGCTTCTTAACAAAGAATACCGGACTGCCCCCCGCTGCCTTGGACTCTCGGATGAAACCGCGCTCCAAATTATGATCTATGAACTCTTTGAGTTCCTGCAGTTCGTCCTCAGACATGGAATACAACTTCCCTTTGGGCAGCGCCGCCCCGGCAGCAGGTCAATTCTGCAGTCATATGGTCTGTGGGGGTAGCCTGTCTGCCTCCTTCTCACAGAAAACCTCCAAAAATGCTGCGTACTTGTGGGGAACCGCTTGCAGCGTGCCTAGCTGCAGCTGTGACTCCTCTTCCTCTCCTTCCTGCCGGGGCACGATGCAGTGTTCAGCGCAAAAGGAAGAGCCGAAGGTCAGCTGCCTCTGGTACCAAGCCAGCGTCGGGCTGTGCTTGTCCAGCCAACTCATGCCCAATACAATGGGCGTGTCCGATAGTTGAGTGACATTGAAGCTGATGATTTCCCTGTGATTCCCAAGTCTCATCACCATTGGTGGCGTCTGCTTCACCACTTGCCCCCCTAGCAGCTCCCTGCCATCCACCGTGACAACCTGCAGGGGCAGCGTGGCAGGCAGCAACTGTATAGCGTGCCGGTCGACAAAGTCCTGCCCTATAAAGTCCGCATTGCTTCCGGAGTCAATGGTGATTGGCACGTCCATGGTGATGCCATTGGGCAGCTGGAGCGACGCGGTGAGCCTCACTACTGGTTTGGGCGGGAGGGGGTCCATGGGCTGTAAAATCTCTGGGGACTGCTTCACTGACACGTCTGGCTGGGCCCCAGTGCCTCTTTCTCCAGCCAGACTCCGTCGCTTCCCTGCCGTGGTTCTCCTTGCTGCGTTGCTGCAGTTACCATTGCTGAGGCTGCAGTGTGCTTGTGGAGCCTCTGGGGACACTCTTTCGCCATATGCTGTGGATCATCGCAGATGTAACACTTCCTGTTCCCTCTAGGAGGCTTCGCTCACTGCTGCCGGTGCTAGGGCTCTGGCTGCTGACTGAGCCCTTGCACCTCCAACCTCCATAGGTTCCGCTCCTCCTCCTGGCGGAGGCGTGGATTGCGCACGCGCTGCTTCTCTGGGAAGGAAGGAGGAGCCCCTGGCTGGTTCGCGCCCTCCACGCCCTTCGTCCCTGCTCCACGGACGTTCTTCCAGCCGCACCCCCACCGCCAGCGCCCTCTGAACGATCTCCTGCGTGGTCCGGGTCTCTCCCCTCGCAATTTCATCTTTAACCGAGCCGTGCAATCCCTCCCAAAACAGGTCTCTTACAGGAGCCGAATCTCTGTCCCATTCCAGAGCACTGACCAAAGCGAAAAAGCGGGCATGGTACTGCCTTACGCTGGCCCTCCCTTGCTTCAGTCCATGTATCTGCTGCCGAGCAAGATCCACGTCAATGCTTGATAAAAAGCACCCATCCATCGCTTTAATAAAGGCATCCGCATTTTGGAGCGCCGGATCCTTATCTCTCCACAAATTGCGCAGCCATGCTTTAGCATCTCCATGCAAATGGGACATGATGAATCCCACCTTCTCTTGCTCATCTCTAAAGTCTTTGTTCAGCAGTTGCAGTGCACACATTACATCTGCTCTAAAGTTGGGGTACTGTTGCAAATTCCCATCGAAGTGAGAGACCAGACCGCCTGTTCGTCTCCCCAACCCAATCCTCCGGTTTGGGTGTCAGTTGCCCTTGCTTCGTAAGCACTTCCAACCTGACCTGGAGATCCCTGTAGGCGGCAGCTGCGTCCTCCTCTCTCTTCCTGGATGCAAGAGCCTCGGCATTCAGTCGTGACACTGCTTCTCTGAGTTCCGCTATCTGCTGTTCGGCCGTCATATTGTCTGCCGTTCGTGAGCTCGCTAGTAGGCACCCGCTTTCTCTCCTCTCCGCGAGGCCGTAGATGCCCACAATTTATGGGACGGAGCTTACTGTCAGAGCTGCTTCCAGATCCTAGCTCACAGAGGATCACGCTAGCCAGCGATCATTAAACAAAAGTCTTTATTGAGTTACAGTTTCCATTCTCAAGCTGCTGCGTGCAACTCTACGTCTCATGCTTAGATCGGCGAAGCTCCGTCTGAGTCTCCGCCCTTGTACACCAACTTAATATCCTAGCCCTGCTCCACCTTTTCCGCCTGACTGTTCTTCTCTGGGTCCCTCTGCCCCCGGGGTCTCTTCCTTCCGGGATTCCTCTGACGCTGACGCTGACTCCCTGACTCTTCTCCCTCCTTTCGGCGGGCTTTAGGACCTGGCTCCCTTCCGGGCTGCCTACTGCGCCACCTTCCTGTGCATTTGAACTTGCGCGCGCGCCCAACCTTCCACCTTCCGTCTGACCGTTTCTTCGCTCCCCGATGGAGGTGTGGCCACTCCTGACTCGTGCCCTCCCCCCTGTTGTGAGTTGCCAGCGCTTGATCCCTGGCGCCCTTCCTCTTCCCTGCTCTCTGGCGGTGACGTTGGTCCCGATTTCCAACTGCTCCCCTCTGAGTCCCCTCTGGCTCTATCTTCCTGGGGTGTCCCCCTAGGCTCCCCCCTTGCCCTGGCCACTGGTGCTCCTTTCTGTGAATCTTCTGATTCACTGGAAAGACTCGGAGATCTCGGGTCGTCGTCATCACTCATCTTTTCTTCTGCCTCCTCCCCCTCGCTCTCTGTTTCCTCCCTTGCCCTTGCCTCTGCTCCTGAACCCCTGACAGTACGCCTTCCCCAATCTTGAGCATGGACATGAGAAGAGAGGAAGCCTACTTGTGACCTCAATTCCTTTGATGGCCCGGAGTTCCTTCATTTGCAGAATGCGTGAAAGGGGGCTTGTGCAATTTTGTCAATTAGGTCTATGGCTGAGCAACTGAGACAAGAAATGTGAAGGTGGCTAGCTGAAAACAAAAAGGGGGAAATGGAGGGCAGAAGGTGAAAGGGAACTGACCTTCTTATAGTTAGGTAAATGTATCCTGTGGGGGAAGGATTAGAGTTCTGGGGGATTGCATACCCTCCAATATTTCTCCAATGAAATATGGATGCCCTATTCAATAATAATAATAATAATAATAATAATAATAATAATACCCTGCCCATCTGACTGGGTTGCCCCAGCCACTATGGGCAGCTTCCAGCATTTATAAAAACATAATAAAACATAAAACATTTTTAAAAAATGTTTAAAATCTTTCCTATATAGGATTGCCTTCAGATGTCTTCCAAAGGTTGTATAGTTACAACCTTGGCTTCGGGGTTGCGTAACTCCAAAGCCTCCAATATTTCTCCAATGAAAATAGGGATGTCCTAAGGAAAAGTGGGACATTCTGAGATCAAATCAGAAACTGGATTGGCTTCTGTAAATCTGGGACTGTCCCTGGAAAATAGGGAAACTGGGTTGTGTGGGATTAGTGCTTTGAGCTTAAGAAATCTTCTTGGAGTGCAGAAATGCTCATGTTTGATCTGAAAGTTCCTTCGCACTACAGAGCATGAGAGGAGAAATTCAGAGAAGTGCAGCTTTTGAAGAAAGCTGTGTTTTGGTTCACGTATTGGTTTGAGAAATTCAACCAGATGTTCTAGTGAAAGCAAAGTTGTACTTTGGTGAAAGCAAGGGCGCCAGAAAGAAAGTAGACCTGGAAACTTGCATTGATGTTCTTGAGACTGAGACTGAATGATAGGAAATGAGTTATCAGAGTGATGTGGTGCATTGACTTCCTGTGCAGTCCTTTTAGAACTCGCTAGTATCAAAGACAGGCAGGTCATTAGCCAGATCCCACAAAGCCAATTTTACCTTTTTCTGCAAGGCTGGGAGTAAATTCCCATCAGCAAAGCATAACATATAGCGATGGCTCAGTAGCACTATAAACTGAACATGAGCGCTCTTGTTACAGTCTTCCAGTTGGCACCACAATAAAATGTATAATGAACTCAGAGCTTATATATTTCACTTATAAACTTGGGAGACCCAAATTAAAGTTTATTACCTGAATATGGAAGGTCTGTCAGTGACTTTATTGCCATTTCCTTCTGTTAACTCACTTTTTCCATTTGTGCAACTGGTTCATTGGAAAAGATAATTTGCAAAAGACAGCAAATTAGACCAAGAATTATTTACATGCAGGAATTTATGAATGATGCACTTGGTGCATAAATCCACCGCAGGAATTGCTTCAGTTCATCACCGTCAGCCAGCCGCCATATGCAACAATGTTGGTGACAAAAGTTTCCAAATTGCCGCCATTTATCATCACCTCTTCCTCTCCTCCCATACAAACACACAGAGCGCTAGCTCTTATCTTGGACTGAGACTAAGCTAGAGAAGGGAGGGTAAGCCACTTAACTGGGTTGGCTATTTGCACAGCAAATCATAGTATTTTATAGTTCCTAGCCCACCAGAAGGGCTGTAGCTCAGTGGTAGAGTATCTGATTTGCATGAAGAAGATCCCAGGTTCAATCCCAGACATCTCCAGCTGGGGCTGGGAGACAATACCAAGCTAGGCAGATCAGGCAGCGCAGACAATACCGAGCTAGGCAGATCAGGCAGCGCAGACAATACCGAGCTAGGCAGATCAGGCGGTGCCTACAATACCAAGCTAGGCAGATCAGGTGACGCAAACAATACCGAGCTAGGCAGATCAGGCGGTGCAGACAATACCGAGCTAGGCAGATCAGGCAGCGCAGACAATACCGAGCTAGGCAGATTAGGCAGTGCGGTCAATACCGAGCTAGGCAGATCAGGCAATGCAGGCCATACCAAGCTAGGCAGATCAGGCGGCGCAGGCAATACCGAGCTAAGGCAGATCAGGTGGTGCCTACAATACCGAGCTAGGCAGATCAGGCGGTGCAGACAATACCGAGCTAGGCAGATCAGGCGGTGCCTACAATACCGAGCTAGGCAGATCAGGTGGTGCCTACAATACCGAGCTAGGCAGATCAGGTGGTGCCTACAATACCGAGCTAGGCAGATCGGGCAGCGCAGGCAATACCGAGCTAAAGCAGATCAATGGTCTGACTTGGTACAAGGCAACTTCCTTTGTTCCTAGGATTGTTTGAGTGCTGAAGGCAACTTAAAATGAAACCATTCTATGCGTTGGAACTGTCATTCTTCTGCCCAATGACAAATATGCATGAACACTGAGAGTACAGAATAAAATTCCTCAAACATAATTAGCTGGTAAGAATTGATGAGAGATTTCACTATAAAGTTTGCTCAAAGGCATGATCATCAGCTACAGCTTAGCCATCACTACTGATTGGGGGGGGGCATCCAATTGCTAAATGTGAGGACATGTGTATGTATCCTCTCATTAAAAACAACAACAACAACACCAAAGCCCCAAACTAAGGGCTGAAAGAAGATAGTCTCAGTCCCTTTTCAGAACAACATTTTTTAATTGTTGTTGTTGATGATGATGAGATTAACTTAGTTTGATTTGCTCAGTCCCAAATAGAATTTTCTGAAATCAAAGGACTAATATAATTGCTCTGAAAATTGGAACGCAACACTGGAGCAATTGTTTAGATTTTAGTGACCTTACATAGGGCAAGCAAAGTCGGACATTTCTAAATGATGCAATTTACTTATTACATATTATTATTTATTTAATGGACTTGTTTCTGTTCCATTGTGTAGAACCAAATGGTGCAAATGTCCGGGAAGGCCTGCAAATGCCATCTTGATACAAGACAACCTTGGGACTAATTGTTATTTGCTGCAAGGATGAGCTAATATATGTTTATCCACTTGCATTGATATTGACCTAGGGAAGGGAGTTATCAGTGCAACTTGGAGGCCCACCACCTATGTCTTCATAAAACAGTGGGCTTTAATTGGCCAGCTGACATATGATTATTTTTTTTGTCTAAGTAATTATTAACCCCTCATGGACAGTCATGACAAAACTCTTGCTGTTTTGGTATTCTCCTCAAGTCTGTAAAGGCAGCAAGGTCTCCGGCATTTCATTGTCAATTGTTACCTCTTCATAATAAAGCACTAGAATTGGTCACTCTGGAATTTTTTACATCCTTCTTTGGAAGTCCTGCACCAAAGCATTCTTAGGCATCAGGACATCTAACTACTGGTCTATGCAAATTGTCAAGGAAGCTTACATAAAGGTAACAAAATTCAATTCAATCAATGCTCCCATATACCCAGATTCATTCCAGTCTGGATTCAAACTTGGTATGGATCTAGACACAGGAAAACACACACACACTATAAGTAAGTCAGAAATTAGAATGTTATAACAAAATACAGAAATCCCTATGCAAAACTGTGTTTTAAAATTTTCTCCCCTCTGCCACCATCTGGTGTTGCGTGTTTATAGCACATTCAAATTGTTGTTTCTTTACTAATGTGGCTGAGTTCTTGGTTGTAATAAAAAAGCTTCTTTGGTCACCATGATGAATGATCTATGAGGAGAGAAGGACAGACTTCCGGTTGGTGCCAGCAGCAATGGCTGACCTCCTTTGAAGTTCGGAGGGGGTAGCTCAGCGGGAGATCGGGTCCTGTGCGCTCCGGCGAAGCGGGGACCCTCAGAAATCGCAGGCGCGGACGCCTGCGAACGTGGAGGCTCGGCGGGCACCCTGAAGCGCCCCCCCAACCTGAAAAGAAGCCTTTTTGAGGCTTCGGAAGGGAGCGGGGGAGAGAAGCGCGGTGCTGCGAGCGGATCGCTGCTCCCGCTGAGCGAAGCCGCGTTGCCGTTGCTGGAGAGCGCTGACTTATTCCTGGGAAATTCGGACTCAAAAACTAACCGTGAGTAGAGGAATTGGACAAAAGAGCAGGATTTGGATTAATTTGGAACTTTGGCAAAAAAGCGGAAAAGTTTAAAGTTTTTAAAAAATGGCTGAATTGGCTACCGCGGTGGAAGCTTAAACAGGAAGTCGGCTTCACTGCATTGTATAAAGAACAAAGCAAAGAGATTTGGAGCTAAACGTGAAGAGCTGAATTGAAATAAGTGTAATCTTCTGACCTGAGGACTTTGGAGGGATCTACCCTTAGGAGAGTTAAGGGAAAGACTTTTGATTTTATAGGATTGTTTAAACTGAAAGATTAAAAGAGTGATCTGTCACTCAGCTGTCAAAGCTGTCAAAGTTGCTAAAGCTGTTTGCTGGCTGCAAAGGAGATACATAGTGGCCAATTTTACTGAGAAAAGACTGGAAAAGACTGAAAAGTTATATTGTGGCTTTTACTTTGGACTCTTTTTCTCCTCTTACTTAGTATCTTTCCCTTGTTGTTTTAAAAGACAGTAACTTGTTAAGTGGCAACAGTGTCCATCTAGTGGGACTTTCTGTAACTGCAGGAAAGGAAAGGAATTTTCCAATTATAAACAGGAAGAGTGGACGTGGGAAAGTAACTTGACCTTCACTCTGTTATGGCTGATGGTTTTAAGGACCAGTCAACCTTGAGATCAGGGAAACCTTGGACACATAGAAGGCAATCATCTGCTGGTTTGCCTACATCGGCAACACAATCTAAGTCTGGTGGAATGTCTGAGGAATTTTTAGCTAGTGCTCTGTCTAAGATTAATGATTCAATACAGCAGCTATCTACAAAAGTGGGGAGACGAACAGGAAGGTGGAAGAGACCAGTCAGAAAGTGGATATTGCAAACAAGAAAATTGACCTAAATACAGAAACATTAGGCAACTTGGAGAAAAAAGTAAACAGCAATACGGAATCTATCCAGAAATTGCTGCAAGACTCAAAGTCTATACAGGAAAAAACTGCTGCTGTAGAGTTTAAATTGGGGCAGTTGGAAACTGAAAAAGTACCAGACATACAGAAAGAGATCGCAGAACATAAGCTAACGTTATCTATGATAGACCTCAAAGACAAACAAACGAATCTCAGAATCAGAGCTGTTCCTGAGTTGGAGAAAGGTACTTTGATAGACTTTTTGACACAAGAATTTCTGGACTTTTGGAAATCGGAATTGAAACAAGAGGATTTTAAGATCGTGAGGGCCTTTCGATTGGGGAAAGGAGGAAGAAAGATTAAAATAAGGGACTGTTTGATTACTCTTCGATCTAAGGAAGAAAGGGACAAAATTTTGGGTTTACATTACGAAAAACCCTTGACAATTATACAATCAAAAGTTGAAATTTTTAAAGATATACCAAAACATCTTCTTGATTTAAGAAAGGACTTTGGAGACCTGGTGGACTTGTTGAGAAAAATAAAATTCTTTTCAGGTGGGAATTTCCCCAAGGCCTATCCTTTAGCTTTAAGGGAAGAAAGACCAAGATCAGATCAGTGGAGGAAAAGAACAAGTTCCTGAGTGCATACGAAGAAGACCTACTGAAAGGATTGGGAAAAGACATTGCGATACCGGACAAGAGTCAGCAGAAAAAAGGGAAACCAACGCCACCGACAGACATAGACAATCTTCTTGGGGCTGCTGGAGGAGAAGGAGAGTAGCTACAAAATGACACTACAAATTTTAAGCTGGAATATTAATGGTCTAAATTCGTCGGCTAAAAGGGGAAGAGTATTTCATACATTGAAAAAAGAACATTTGGACTTGATCTGTTTACAAGAGACTCATGTGACAAGGCTACATCGGAAAATCTTGATAAATAAAAGATTGGGAGAGGAATTTATTTCATCGGACAATGTTAAAAAAAGAGGGGTAGTTCTTTATGCGAAGGAAAGCCTGTCACCAAAATTTATATTTAAAGATGATCAAGGAAGATATATAGCAATTGAAATTCAATTCCAAGGACAGAAATTCTTGATATTAGGTGTATATGCACCAAATGAGGGAAAATCAGAATTCTTCAAGAAATTGCATGAAACTCTCTTGGACTATTTGGATTACAATATTATCTTGATGGGAGACATGAATGGAGTAGTGTCTACAAATATGGACAAGGCCCAAAGACAAACAGTGACAAAAGATGGAAGATTACCAAAGACATTCTTTGAAATGACTGACAATATGGATCTTGTGGATATTTGGCGAACAAAGAACCCCTTGGAAAGAGAAGGAACCTTCTTCTCTGAAGCAAATATGACATGGACAAGAATAGACCAAATCTGGATAACTAGAGGACTGGCTCCTAAAATTAAAAAAGCAGTGATTTGTCCGAAAATCTGCTCCGATCACAATCCAGTAAAGATTGAAATGACATCAATGCCAATTGGGGCCTTTAGATGGAGGATGAATGACTCCTTATTCAGGAATGAGGAAATTATTAAAAAGGCTCAAAAAAATTTGAGAGACTATTTTGAAATAAATTTGAATACTACGACAGAAAAAAGAGTGATTTGGGATGCCAGTAAAGCGGTGATGAGAGGATTCTTGATACAACAAAATGCAATTAGGAAAAGATATCAAAATGAGAAGAGAGAAAAAATCTTGGAGAAAATAAAGGATGGAGAAAAAAGATTGAGAGCGAAACCGAACTCACAGGAGATTTTAAAAGAGATAAAGCTATACCAAGTACAGTATATGAAATTGATGAATCA